TAAGCGCCGTCACAAGCGTCTTCATACATGATTGCAAAATAGTTGCTGTGCGCGCCTTGACTCCAGCATTCCAATATCATCCATGGAGGCAAACCACCTTTCGTCAAAGATACAAGCCCTTATCCTTGCCATCCAATCCATCCAATCCATCCTCAGCCGTACCCACGTGACATGGTCCACCTTCCTGACGACGCCAAGTAACCAAAAATGACATTTCAAGGTCACCTCTGACTGAGCTTGATTGCATCCATTCATCCATAAGTAAGCATTGTAACCAATACGTTGGTTGAAAAGAGCCAATGCGGTCGCTGCTGATACGCTTCCTTTTCCATTCTGATGTTGGTCTATTCTTCCTTGATCATTTCCTAGTATGGCACCGTAGCCAGGGATGTAAACACCTCTCTTTACAACTACCTGCTCAATATAGACAAGAACTATGATTCACCGGATCAAAAGCTAAAGAGCTGCTCAGCACCGCAGCATGTGCAACATTACAAATCTAAAAATATCATCCGACATTATCCTCCCTCCAAACTGTCGTACGTCCTCGTACACAATCACCATAGAAACGATAGCAGGGCACCAAAAGAAAACGAAAACGAAAAGACAAGACCACGAAGAAGGTTTAACGTCCAGATCACGAAGCAAGACGGCACACGGGCAAGAACGAAAGTAGAGCACTTATTGGCTACTCGGCCAGGGCTCACGACGGCACAAAAGCAAAAACGAGAAAACAAAGAGGACCAAGCAACGAGACCAAAGGATAGTAGATTTTGCACAAAGAGGAGAGGAAGGACAAGCAACAGAGATCCAAAAGCACACCGCACAACGAGCACAAAAACCAGCTTGCGTTGGAGAAACGACCTTGAGAGAACTTGATACGGAGGGTGAAGAGGAAGCAGCAGGCAAGGGGAAAGAACTTCATCAGCTACCAATTGTCGTATATCCTTTTGCGTCGTCTGGCGGTATGGCACCGTAGCCAGGGATGTAAACACCTCTTTACAACTACCCGCTCAATATAGACAAGAACTATGATTCACCGGATCAAAAGCTAAAGATTTATTCTCGGCGTTGCAGCAGCCTTTTATAAAGGCTGCTCAGCACCGCAGCATGTGCAACATTACAAATCTAAAATATCATCCGACATTTTGTTCTTTTTTTGTCGTAGGTCATGTTGTCGCAGCCTTTGGCTGAGCAATCTCTTTTGGCAAGCTACGCCTCATCATCTTCTACTTGCAATCATGCAAAGCCCATTGACACCGCCACACCACCAAGCCCATCTTCTACTTCGCCACCTTTGCCAAGCCCATCTCTTTGACTGCGCCCTCGATATCATAGATAGCCAACACATATAAATATCCCCTCATTCTGATACAATAAAACATTATCTTACGTCTGTACTTTATTCAGTGTACTAGTCTTTCTATCTCTGGCCATTGGTTTACCAGCTCAGATTTGGACCGACAATGTGACCACTGTCGATACTCTTATTTTGGCTGATACGCCAATGGCCAAAACGTGAGATGACTTAAAAGTAGAAGAGAGTTATCCTTTATTCATAGCATGCTTTAGAGTTATATATATGTGTATACAAAATGATGGGTACAGTGGTACCAAAACGAGTGATGTGTTACTTGTATTTGCAACTTGAGATTGGGCCCCACGTGATGTATGATGCTTGCTACGACATTTATCCCCTCCCGAGACTTTTGGTCGTCCTCGAACAAATTATGAAAGAGAATTGGTAGATGTTTCTTGACGAATAATAGCGCGAGAGTGAGTTGGGTCGTACCAAGGTTGAGAGGGAGTAGGTGAATGGATGGAAATGGGGCGGAGGCGATCGGTGTGGACCCAAGAAGAATACGTGTTGCCTTGAAGGTCTTGTATTTGGTAAACATGAGTGTCGAGGTTGCGAGACAAAATCTTGTATGGGCCTTTCCAGTTGTACTCCAAGCTTAATTTGTTTTCATGGCGTAAGAGTACAAAGTCACCGATAGCAAAAACTTGAGGTTTCATGAGTGAGTCCCAGCGTTGTTTGTCACGAGCAGCATTGTCGTTGAGTCGTTTTTCTGCTAGTAAGCGTGCTTTGCGTAATTCCTTAACCTCAGGTGCACGTCCTTTGGCAACAATTTCGACTGTAGTATCGGTGTCCGATGTTGATGTCAAAAGGAATGGTGGTAGCTCGTCACCTGGCAACTTCGGTTCTTGACCATAAACCAAATAATAAGGGCTAAACCCTGTGGTCCGATGCTTTCGTATACGACATGCAAAAATGGCT